TGGACTCAGCATAGGTGTCCCAACAACTGAAAGACAGTATGGATACAGCAGAGCATATTCAGCCATAAGGAAGAACGAAGTTATGTTACTTGAAGGAAAAAGAATGAACTAGAGTTAATGATGTTGAGGGAAATGAGCTAAGCTCAAGAAAGACAAGTATTGCTGGGTACTGGTGGCTCACATCTGTAGACCAGCTACTCAGGAGGTTGAGGTCTGAAGATCATGGTTTAAAAGCTGGTGTAGGCAGGGAACTTCATGAGACTCATCCAATTAACAACCAAAAAGCCAGAAGTGGACTGTGGCTCAAGTTGTGGAACCCTAAACAAAAGAAGCTTGGAAAGCATCCAGGCCCTGAGTTCAAATCCTAGGACCAGCACACACACACACACACACATCACATTTTCTCTCATGGACCTAAAAAAAACAGTAATAGTAGAAGTAATCATATGACATGTTAATAAGTATGAATGTTTTAGTCACAAGTCAATGGCTCACGCCTGTAATCCTAGCTACTCAGGAGACTGAGATCTGAAGATCCCAGTTTGAAGCCAGCTTGGAGGGGCTGGGAAGATGGCTCAGTGGTAGAGCACTTGCCTTGCATGCCTGAGGCCCTGGGTTCGATTCCTCAGCACTACATAAGCAAAAAGAAAAAAGCTGGAAGTGGCGCTGTGGCTCAAGTGGTAGAGCACTAGCCTTGAGCTGAAGAGCTGAGGAACAGCACCCAGGCCCAGAGTTCAGGCCCCACAACCGGACCCAAAAATTAAAAAAAATAAAAAATGAAGCCAGCTTAGACAAGAAAATCCATTAGATGCTTATCTCCAATAAAGTCAGGAAGAGCTGAAAAGGGTACTGTGACTCAAAGAGAGCGCCCAGGCCCAGAGTTCAAGCCCCAGGACTGGCAAAAATAAAATACAAGTGTTTCGTTGGAGAACCAATGAGAGGGGGGAAGGAAGAAAGGGTGCTGAGAGGTGAATATGATCAAAGTATATTACACATATATTATGGAAAGACTAAGGACACTGGACACCTGTAGCATACACCTAGCTACTGAGGATGCTGAGATATGAGGATTGCAGCTCAAAGCTAGCCCAGGCAGAAAAGTCCATGAGATTCACCTGCAATTAACCACCAAAAAAGCTGGAAGTGGAGCTGTGGGTCTAATGATAGAATGCTACTCGAGCATAAAAGCTCAGAGACAAAAAAAAAAAATGCTCAGAGACAGGGTCCAGGCCCTGAGTTCAAGCCCTAGGGCAGCAGGGGGGAAAAAATAAGAAAACCTCACTGAATACTTAAAAAAAAAAAACAGGGGAGGTTCACACCTGTAATCCTAGCTACTTAGGAGACTGAGATAAAATGATCAAAGTTTGAAGCCAAACAGAGCAGGAAAGTCTGCGAAACTCTTATTACCAATCAACCAGAAAACCCGAAACTGGTGTGGCTCAAAGTGGTAGAGCACTAGCCTTCAACAGAATAGCTCAGGGATAGTGCCCAGGCCCTGAGATCAAGCCCTACAACTGACCAAAAAAAAAAAAGAAAGAAAAACTATACTAGAAGTAAATTTGATAAAGTATATGATATGTGTATAGGAAATGACACAACGAAACCTCTTTTTACAATTAACTTATGCAAATAAGAAAAATTGTAAGTATATGATCTCATTAATTTGTAAGTATAAACTTACATAAATGATTGGGTATTTGTAGACAAAAATAAAATTCATGCTTATTTCTTTAACATATGAGCTTAGATGGTTGGAATTTGAAGCCACTGATGAAATTAGTGATGATGAAATTAGGCAAATGAAGGAGAGAAAAGCATTACAAGTGTTATTTTTACATGTACATGTAGACCCACAGGAGAATGAGTCATTTGAGAAAGGGCCAACATAGGAAGCTTTTATAGTGCTTACAAAGGAGAACGTGAGGATAGAAAATGAGAAATGGATCTGGGCTGGGATGTGTGGGGGAGTGGCTGAGCTGTCCTGGGAAAGTATAAAGCTAATACAAACTGCTGCTTCAAATTTGCAGAAGCCATCCAGGCAACAGTGCCCAATTCCAGCCTTTCTGGCATTGGTGCAAGGGAGGTACCCTCCTCAAAGGAATTTTTATGGCTTGCTCTCTGTAGAAAAGGAAAGAGAAAGTCTGGAGGCTGGTGACTCAGACCTGTAATCCTAGCTACTTAGGAGGGTGAGATCTGAGATCACAGTTTGAAACTAGACTGAACAGGAAAGTTTGTGAGACTCTATCTCCAATTAACCACCAAAAAATCCAGAAGTGAAGCTGTGACTCAAGTGGTAGAATGCTAGCCTTGAGGGGGAGAAAAAGCTTAAGACAGCACCCAGACCCTAAGTTCAAGCCCTGGGACCAGTGTGTGTGTGTGTGTGTGTGTGTGTGTGTGTGTGTGTGTGTGTGTGTGTGTGTGTGTGTGTGTGTGTGTGTGTGTGTGTGTGTGTGTGTGTGTGTGTGTGTGTGTGTGTGTGTGTGTGTGTGTGTGTGTGTGTGTGTGTGTGTGTCTGTGTGTCTGTGTGTGTGTCTGTGTGTGTGTGTGTCTGTGTGTGTGTGTGTCTGTGTGTGTCTGTGTGTGTTTCAACTTCAGCTGAAAGGGGATGTGGCTCAAGTAGTGGAGCACCTGCCTGGCAAGTGCAAGGCCCTGAGTTCAAATCCTAATACTACCAAAAAATCATGTGGTAGAGGGCTTTCAGCTTGAAATAGTAAATATACCAAATCAGAATATCTTAGAGCCAATTATTTATCCTCAATTCCTTCAGGATCTTGATTGTTGCCTGTTCTGATAATTCCATGCAAGAATAAGAGAGTCTAGCCAGATGCAGGAGGCTCACAACCATAATCCTAGCTACTCAGAAGGCTGAGATCTGAGGATTGTGATTTGAAGCCAGACTGGGCAGAAAAGTCTGTGAGACTCTTATTTCTAGTTAACTAGCAAAAAGCCCAAGTAAATGTATAACTTCAAGTGGGTAGTACATCAGTTTTGAGTAAAAAAGCCAAGGGAGAACATAAGGCACTGAGTTCTAGCCCCATACTGGCAAGCAAACACAAAAAAGAACAACTGCCAGGGGCTGGGAGGTAGCTCAGTGGTAGAGCGCTTGCCTTGCATGCTTGAGGCCCTGGGTTTGATTCCTCAGCACCACATAAGCAGAAAAAGCCACAAGTGGCGCTGTGGCTCAAGTGGTAGAACACAAGCCTTCAGTTGAATTGCTGAGGGACAGCACCCAGACCCAGAGCTCAGGCCTCACAACCTACCAAAAAAAAAAAAAAGAAAGAACACGTGTCTGCATGACTGATTCTTTGTCAATCTCTGTGACAGTTCCCTCTAATGATTTCATTACTGTTTTTTGTTTGTTTGTTTGCATGTGGGTTTTTGTTAGTCAGTCATGGGACTTGAAGTCAGGGCTTGGGTGCTGTCCCTAAGCTTTTTCACTCAAGGCTAGCACTCTGCTACTGTGAGCTACACTACTGCTTCCGGTTTACTGGTGGTTAATTGGAGATAACAGTCTCATAGACTTTCTAATCCAGAATGGTTTTGAACCACGATTCTCAGATCTTAGCTAAGATTACAGATGTGATCTACTATTTCTTGGCTTCACATGATTTTTTTAAACCCACATAATTTTTTATCAAAATATTTTAACAATATTTTTTAACACAATTTTTTTTAACAAAATAGAGAAACAGTGCAGGATTAAGAAATAAAAACTTGAAATGAATGGACTCCAATTTAAAGTTGATATAGGAAGATATAATTGAAATCTGGGAGTTGAAGGCGTGGCTTAGCTGGTAGAGCATTAGCCAAAGACCAAAAAGTATCAGGTACCAAGTTCAAGTTATGGTCTTCAAATCTGGGTGCTAGTAACCATGTCTTAGAATTTAAAAGAATTAGGAAAAGGACAACTAAATAAATTACTTCCTTTTATTAATTTTTAATGTGTTTTGACTTTACATACACTGAGGGTTTTTTTTAGTTTGGTTGGTTTTTTTTTTTTTTGGGGGGGGCATGGGGCTTGAACTCTGGGCACTGTCCCTCAGCTCATCAGCTCAAGGCTGGCATTCTGCCACTTGAGCCACAGCACTACTTCCAGTTTTCTGGTGGTTGATTGGAGATAAGAGTCTTAAAGACTTTCCTGCACAGGCTGGCTATGAACTGAGAACCGCAGATCTCAGCCTCCTTAGTAGCTAGGATTATAGGTGTGAGCCACAGGTGCCCAGCTACACTTAGATTTTGAATCCTGTGAAATCGAGACTTTTTTTTTTTTTTTTTTTGCCAGTCCTGGATCTTGAACTCCAGGCTTGGACATTGTTTCTGAGCTTCTTTTGCTCAAGGCTAGCACTATTCCACTTGAGCACAGCACCACTTCTGGCTTTTTCTGTTTATGTGGTACTGAGGAATTGAACCCAGGGCTTCATGCATGCTAGGCAAGCATTCTACCACTAAGCTACCTTCCCAGCCCAAATAATTTCTTTCTTTTTTCTTTTTTTTTTTTTTTTTGTGTCAGTCCTGAAGTTTGAACTCAGGGCCTGGGCACTGTCCTTGAGCTTCTTTTGCTCAAGGCTTGTACTCTACCAGTTGAGCCACAGCACCACTTCTGGCTTTTTCTGTTTTTTCAAGATTTTTTTAAACATTAACGAAAAGGTAAATTGTGTTCATGAAAAAGCAAAATGGTAATACACAGCATTGAAAGGAGCAACCAGCTCAGTGCTAGTGGCTCATGCCTGTAATCCTAGCTACTCAGGAGACTGAGATCTGAAGATCATGGTTCAAAGCCATCACAGGCAGGAAAGTCTGTGAGACACTTATCTCCAAATAGCCAGCAAAATGCTGGAAGTGGAGGTATGAATCAAGTGGTAATGCACCAGCCTTGAGTGGGGAGGGGAGAAACACAAGCAAAAATGTAAAGCTCTGATTCAAGCCCAAGTACCAGCACAGCAAGAAAATAAGAACAACTAGTAGGAACACTGTAACTGGTGATTGTATTTGTATTTCAGGTGCCTTTGGTGCTTCATGGAGAACATTTCCAGATACATCACAGACATTAAGCCTTTGCCTCCTAACATAAAAGATAGGCTGATTAAGATAATGAGTACTCAAGGGCGGATAACAGATTCCAATATAAGTGAGGTAAGAGAGTGCTCGCCGGTAAAGCAGGTTATAGTTTACTGTTAAGACACAGTTTCTGATTGTTCTGAAGCAAAGGAATTACAGTAGGGTTAGTAATCATCTAAAAATAATCATATAGGGGCTGGGAAGGTGGCTCAGTGGTAGAGTGCTTGCCTTGCATGCCTGAGGCCCTGGGTTCGATTCCTCAGCACCACATAAGCAAAAAGAAAAAAGCCGGAAGTGGTGCTGTGGCTCAAGTGGTAGAGCACTAGCCTTGAGCTGAAGAGCTGAGGGACAGCGCCCAGGCCCAGAGTTCAGGCCCCATGACCAGACTCAAAAAAACAAACAAACAAAAAAAAAATAATCATATAGCAGCCAGTCTCAGTGGCTCATACCTGTAATCCTGGCTACTCAGATCTGAGATCTGAGGATGACAGTTCGCAGCCAGCCCAAGCAGGAAAGTCTGTGAGATTTAATCTCCATTTAAAAATTGGAAGTGAGGGGCTGGGAAGGTGGCTCAGTGGTAGAGCGCTTGCCTTGCATGCCTGAGGCCCTGGGTTTGATTCCTCAGCACCACATAAGCAAAAAGAAAAAAGCCGGAAGTGGCACTGTGGCTCAAGTGGTAGAGTGCTAGCCTTGAGCTGAAGAGCTGAGAGACAGCGCCCAGGCCCAGAGTTCAGGCCCCACGACCGCACCCAAAAACAAAAAAAAAATAAAAATAAAAATTGGAAGTGAGGGGTTGGGGAGGTGGCTCAGTGGTAGAGTGCTTGCCTTACATGCATGAGGCCCTGGGTTCGATTCCTCAGCACCACATAAGCAAAAAGAAAAAAGCCCGAAGTGGCACTGTGACTCAAGTGGTAGAGCCCTAGCCTTGAGCTGAAGAGCTGAGGGACAGTGCCCAGGCCCAGAGTTCAGGCGCCACGACCAGACCCCCCCCCCCCCAAAAAAAAATTGGAAGTGAGGGCTGGGAAGGTGGCTCAATGGTAGAGTTCATGCCTCCCATGCATGAGGCCCTGGGTTCAGTTCCTCAGCACCAGCTAATCAGGAAAAGCTGGAAGCAGTGCTGTGGTTCTAGTGGTAAAGCAGTAGCCTTGGGCTGAAGTGCTAAGGGACAGCGCCCAGGCCCAGAGTTCAGGCCCCACAACCGACAAAAAAAAAATTGGAAGTGCAGCTGGGTGCTTGTGGCTCATGCCAATAATCCTAGCTACTCAGGAGGCTGAGAGAGATCTGAGGATCGCAGTTTGAAGCCAGCCCAGGCAGCAAAGTACATGAGACTCCTTTTTTTTTTTTTCTTTGTCAGTCATGGAGCTTGGGCGCTGTCCTTGTGCTCTTCACTTAAGGCAAGTGCTCTACTGCTTGAGCCACAGAGCCACTTCCAGTTTTCTAGTGTTTTAATTGGAGATAAGAATCTCACAGGACATTCCAGCCCAGGCTGTCTTTGAACAGCGATCCTCAGATCTCAGTCTCCTGAGTAGCTAGGATGACAAGTGTGAGCCACTAGCGCCCAGCTTCCATGAGACTCTTTTTTTTGGGGGGGGGGGAGGGGGTCCGATTGTGGGGCCTGAACTCTGGGCCTGGGCGCTGTCCCTCAGCTCTTCAGCTCAAGGCTAGCGCTCTACCACTTGAGCCAGAGCGCCACTTCCGGCTTTTTTCTTTTTGCTTATGTGGTGCTGCGGAATCGAACCCAGGGCCTCAGGCATGCAAGGCAAGCGCTCTACCACTGAGCCACCTTCCCAGTGCCTTCCATGAGACTCTTATCGCCAATATATTACTCAGAAAAAGCTGGAAGTGACACTATGGTTCAAGTGCTGGAGCGCTAGCCTTGAACACAGGAGACAGCTCAGGGACAGAGCCCAGGTCCTGTGTTCAAGCCCCACCACCAACAAAAAAATAAAAGCTGGAAGTGGAGTTGTGGCTGAAGTGGCAGAATACTAGCCTTTAGCAAAGAAATTCATTAAGCCAGGTGCCGGTGGCTCACGCCTGTAATCCTAGCTTCTCGGGAGGCTGAGATCTGAGGACTGTGGTTTGATGTCAGCATAGGCTGGATTTTTTTTTTCCTGAACTTTTTTTTTTTTTAACTTTTTTTTCCCTTCTTATACTTAAAAAAAAAAATACTTCCTGCTGTAGCCAGGGTGACAGGCACACAGCATCACTCCCAGCTTCTACCAAATGGGAGTCTCAGCTGAGTGCTGGTAGATCACACCTATAGTCCTAGCTAGGAGACTAGGATCTAAGGATCTCAGTTCAAAGAGAGACTAGGCAGAAAAGTCTGAAGGACTCTCTCCAACAAATGAGCTTTATAACCAAGATGTCATATTGAATGATGTCAGGTTCTGCCTTCAGTGACCAGCTTAACTCCCTTCCCCTGAAGAAGTCTTTACATTTGAGTTTTTGTTGTTGTTGTTGTTTTCTTTGCCTGCACTGGGGCTTCAACTCAGGGCCTTGTCTCTTGCTGAGCTTTTAAGCTCAAGGCTAGGGTTTCCACTTGAGCCACAGCTCTGCTTCTAGCTTTTTTTCTGGTTAATTGGAGATAAGAGTCTCAGATTTGTCTGCCTGGGCTGGCTTTGAACCCTGATCCCCACATCTCAGCCTCCCAAATAGCTAGGTTTACAAGTGAGAGACATCACACCCAGCCCTAACAGTCTTTTTTTTTTGGGGGGGGTGGGGGGGGGTCATGTGGCTTGAACTCTGGGCCTGGGCACTGTCCCTCAGTTGTTCAGTTCAAGGCTAGCACTCTACCACTTGAGCCACAGTGCCACTTCTGGTTTTCTGATAGTTAACTGGAGATGAGAGTCTCATGGACTTTCCTGCCCAGGCTGGCTTTGAACCATGATCCTCAGATCTCAGCCTCCTGAGTAGCTAGGATTACAGGCATGAGCCACTGGTGCCTAGCTCCTAACAGAGTCTTTTGCATAATTTTTGAAGGGAAGCTATATGGGTTCCAAACAACCTTCTGGTTTTCCAGTGTTCTGAAAATAACCTCTTCTGGAATATGGGTTGTGTGGGTCTTACCTAGTTCACATTGGGTTGATCTAAAAAAATTAAAAAAAAATACATACAGGTGGTCAAAGTTTTTGTGTCAATTAAAATTTCTTGTGTGGCTTTTGTTATGGTTAGCCTTTCTGACTTGCTTCTCTCTGGTGTGACCTCCTATACTTTGAGACTAAGGAGTGCTGGGGAAGAGACTGTTTGTTCATTCCTTACCAATTCAGTGTGCAATTAATCCTTGTGAGCTATGCTTTACTGTCAACTAATCCTTAGAAGGTAGAATAAACAAAAGCAAAGTGAAGCCTGGCACTGGTGGCTCATACCTGTAAACCTAGCTACTTAGGAAGCTGAGATCTGATTATCAGAGTTTGCAGCCAGCCCAAGAAGGAAAGTCCATGAGTCTCTTGTCTGCAATTAACCACCAAAAAGCCAGAAGCGTGGCTGTGGCTCAAGTGGTAGAGAGGTAGCCTTGAGCACAAAAGCTCAGGGACCCTTGTCTATTTACTTTGCCTATCCTGCTCTTTTCCATCTGTTTTAGTTTTCATACGTCATATTTCCAGTTTATCTTTTTATGCCTTTTTGGTTTTGTTTTATCTTAGAACATTTTCTCGTCCTTTATTTTTTTTTAGCATATTATTACGCTTTGGTCCTGCTATTCTAATTCTTCTGTTCCTGCATTAGGAATCATAATCCAATTTGGTTTTCTTTAGAAATAGGTGTGCTCTGCAGATATCTTGTTGTTGTTGTTTAAGCAGCAAATACATTCTGTTGTAGCCAGATACTGGAGGTCTGACCTCAGTTTGTATCAGCCCTGTTGAGCTGATAAAAGAGGCCTGGAGATGGGCCACTGTGATGCGCCCATACCTCAGCTGGGCACCAGTGGGCTCACTCACACCTGTGACCTGAGCTACTTGGTTTTTGGGGTTTTTTTGTTTTGTTTTTTTGGGTCCAGTCGTGGGGCCTGAACTCTGGGCTTGGGCGCTGTCCCTCAGCTCTTCAGCTCAAGGCTAGCGCTCTACCACTTGAGCCATAGCGCCACTTCCGGCTTTTTCCTTTTGCTTATGTGGTGCTGAGGAGTCGAACCCAGGGCCTCAGGCATGTAAGGCAAGCGCTCTACCACTGAGCCACCTTCCCAGCCCTTTTATTGTTTTGTTTTGTTTTTGTTTTTTTGGACCTGAGCTACTTGGGAGGCTGAGACCAGGAGGATTTCTGTTTCAGGCCAGCCTAGGCAGAGGAGTCCGCAAGACACTTCTTCAGTCTCAGCTGGCACCCTTCCACTTAAACCATGTTTCCAGTCTGGCATTTTGCTCATTTGTTGGAGAGAGTCCTTCAGACTTTTCTGCCTAGTCTCTCTTTGAACTGAGATCCTTAGATCCTTAGAGGAAAACCTAAAGAAACCCTCTAACTAATCACTCACTCTTACTTGACATAAAAATCACTAATATTGGAGGTCACAGGGGAACACAGGGGGTTGGAACCCAGGTTCTTCTAATAGTAAGTCTAGTCTTTATTTTATTTATCTTTTTATTTTATTTTATTTATTTTGGGTCCAGTCATGGGGCCTGAACTCTGGGCCTGGGCGGTGTCCCTCAGCTCTTCAGCTCAAGGCTAGCACTCTACCCCTTGAGCCACAGCACCACTTCCGTGTTTTGATTTTTTTTTTCTGCTTATGTGGTGCTGAGGAATCGAACCCAGGGCCTCATGCATGCAAGGCTAGCACTCTACCACATAGCCACCTTCCCAGCCCCAATTTTATTTATCTTTTATTAATAAAATATAGTAATATGGTATTGTTTTAGTAATACAGCATTATTTTAATAATGCATTGATATTATATTTTAATTTTTAATTGTTATTAAACACTAGGGTTTCAACTTAGAGCCTCCTGCTTGCTGGACAAATATATTACTTTTTTTTTGTTGGTGGTAGTGGTAGTGGTGGGGCTTGAACTCTGGGCCTGGGCGCTTTCCCTCAGTTCTTCAGCTCAAGGCTAGCACACTACCACTTGAGCCACAGTGCCACTTCTGGTTTTCCGGTGGTTTATTGGAGATAAGAGTTTCATGGACTTTCCTGCCCGGGCTGGCTTCCTTTGAACCATGGTCCTCAGATTTCAGCCTCCTTAGTAGCTAAGATTACAGGTGTGAACCACTGGCGCCTGGTTAAGTGTATTACTTCTAAGCAAACCATGTATATATTCCCCTGCCTTAGTGCCAGTCATGGGCTTGAACTCAGGGCCTGTCCCTGAGCTTTGTTTTTGCCCAAGGCTTGTGCTCTACCACTTGAACCACAGCTCCTCTTCCAGCCCTGGAGGTTAATTGAAGCTAAGAGTCTCATGGTCTTTCCCCACCCTGGCTGACCTTCAATCAAGATCCTCAGATCTTAACCTCCTGAGTAACTAGGATTACAAGCATGAGCCACCAGCACCCAGCAACCCTGTTTATTTTTGAGATGTGGTCTCACTTCCTGCCTGAGAATGTTCCTGGATTACTGGGGGATCCTCCTATTAATTTCCAATCATTGCTGGGATGACAGACACCAAGGCCCCCCCCCCCCCGGCCCCCCTTCTTCCATTGACTTGGAGTCTCATGGACTTTTCTGCCTGGGCTAGCCTGGAGCTGAGACCCTCCCAGTCTCTGCCATCTGCATAGCCAAGGTGACAGGTATGAGCCAGTCCTTAATTACAGCTGGGAGCTGTGTGGGGAGGACTGTCACTCACTGCCAGAGCTCACACTTTTTAGGTCCAACAATCCTACCATCTCTAGCCATATCATCTCCAGCCATGTTTATCAGTACATTGTGTTTGGGAAAGCTGTACCTCCAGCAGGAAGCAGAGGAGGATTTTTCCTTGTTTTCTATGTCTATCTCCTTATCACATGTTTCTACATTCCTTTTTTTTTCTCTCTCTCTATTTCTTTTTGTCAGTCGTGAGGCTTGAACTCTGGGCCTGGGTGCTGTCCCTCAGCTCTTTAGCTCAAGACTAGTGCTCTATTGAGCCACAGCACCACTTCTGGTTTTCTGGTGGTTTATTGGAGATAAGAGTCTCATGGACTTTCCTGCCCAGGCTGGCTTTGAATCATGACTCTCAGATCTCAGCCTCCTGAGTAGCTAGGATTCTAGCTATTCAGGCTATAGGCATGAGCCACTGGCGCCTGGTTGTTTCTACATTCTTTGCTGTATCTTCTCCCAGTGGCACATCTGTCATGAAATTAGTCTATATTTATATTAAATATTAAGAAATATCTTCATAAAATTTATATATTACATCTATTTATATAATTATACATATAGATATATCTACATAAATATAAGTAAATAAATATAAGTAAATATTAATATAAGTAAATATTAATATAAGTAAATATTTATATAAATGTATGCTATATATAATATATAATTATATAAATGTATATTATTTAAATATATCTATATGGATATATGTCTATTTATAGAAAATTAATTTCTCAAAGTCCTGTATTTGCTGCAGATTTTACATCCTGAAGTGCAAATCCTAGATCTCCGGAGCTGTGATATCTCAGATGTTGCTCTCCAACATGTGTGTACCTGCAAAAAACTGAAGGCATTAAATTTAAATTCCTCACAGGAAAACAGAGTTTCCATAACTTCTGAAGGTATGTTTATACATACTAAATAAGCACACACTGCTACTTAGCATCTGATATAATTTTTTCTATTATCTTTAGTTTTACAAAAAGATTTCATTTCAACATGTCAATTTAGAAGTACAATGCATTTTATTATTTGTTTATTTGTGACATTACTAGGGCTTGAACTTGGAGCCTGGGTGCTGTCCCTTAGCTATTTTGCTCAAGGCTGGTGTTCTACAACTTGAGCCACAGCTCAACTTTTGGCTTTTAAGTGATTAATTAGAGATAAGAGTCTCTCAGGTTTCCTGCCTGAGCTGATTTTGAACCTCAATCCTAACAGTAGGTAGGATTAGAGGCATGGGCCATCTGTACTTACCAGTAAAATATATCTTAATTTAATGACACCGTTTTCTTTCCTTTTTTTTTTTTTTTGGGGGGGTCCGGTCATGGGGCCTGAACTCTGGGCCTGGGCATTGTCCCTCAGCTCTTCAGCTCAAGGCTAGCACTCTACCACTTGAGCCACAGCACCACTTCCGGCTTTTTTCTTTTTGCTTATGTGGTGCTGAGGAATCGAACCCAGGGCCTTGAGCTTGCAAGGCAAGTGCTCTACCACTGAGCCACCTTCCCAGCCCCCTTTTTTTTTTTTTTTTTTTGGGGGGGTCCGGTCGTGGGGCCTGAACTCAGGGCCTGAGCGCTGTCCCTCAGCTCTTCAGCTCAAGGCTAGAGCTCTACCACTTGAGCCACAGCGCCACTTCCGGCTTTTTTCTTTTTGCTTATGTGGTGCTGAGGAATCGAACCCAGGGCCTCAGGCATGCAAGGCAAGCGCTCTACCACTGAGCCACCTTCCCAGACCCCCAGCCCCTTTTGTTTGTGGGTATGTGTTGGTTGAGGGGCTTGAACTCTGGGCCTGGATGCTGTCCCTCAGCTTTTCAGCTCAAGGCAAGTGCTCTACCACTTGAGCCACAGCGCCACTTCTGGTTTTCTGGTGGTTAATTGGAAATAAGACTTTTCCTGCCCAGTCTGGGTTTGAACTGTGATCCTCAGATTTCAGCCTTCTAAGTAGCTAGGATTACAGGCATGAGCCACCAGTGCCCAGCTTACGTCACCCTTTCTATCATTCTTCCCCAACTTTCCCATCCCCACCCATCCATGGTACAATTTTATTTTTATTTTTATTTTTTTGGGTCCGGTCGTGGGGATTGAGCTCTGGGCCTGGGCACTGTCCCTCAGCTCTTCAGCTCAAGGCTAGCATGCTACCACTTGAGCCATAGCACCACTTCCAGCTTTTTTTTTTTTCTGCTTATGCATGGTATAATTTTAGAACAGAGAAAGGGAAAGTATATTGAAAAAGAGCTGAGCACATGTGCCTGTCCTGGGGCTTGAATTTAGGGCCTAAGCACTATCCCTGAACTTTTTTTGCTCAGGGCTAGCACTCTAACACTTGAGCCACAATTTTACTTCCAGTTTTTTGCTGGTTAATTGGATTTTCCTGACCAGGCTGACTTTGAACACTGATCCTCAGATCTCAGGCTCCTTAGTAGCTAGGATTACAGGCATGAACCACTCACAGCCAGTGGTGATGGCTCTTTTGATACTATATTACAACAGTATTAATCATCAGTTTGAATGGAAGGAAAGGAAAGGACAGGGAAGGGAGAGGAGGGGAGGGTAAAAGAAGGAAGGAGAGGAGAAGGAAAAAAGGGAGAACTTGGTTAGAAAAGTAGGTTCCTGAAAATTTTTGTGGACTTATTTCCCAATCATGTTATGCAAACAAACATAAGTCTTGCAAATGTTTACATTAAAAAAGGACGGGGGGCTGGGGGGAGGGAAGCTAGGATCTGGCTTAGTGGTAGAGTGTTTGCCTAGCATGCATGAAGCCCGGGTTCGATTCCTCAGTACCACATAAATAGAAAAAAAACAGAAGTGGTTCTGTGGCTATCCTTGAGCAAAAGAAGTTCAAGGCCAGTGTCCAGGCCCTCAGTTAAAGTCCCAAGATTGGGGGGAAAAAATTCTGTTGGGAAAAAAAAAAAAAACTTCATCCCTTCTGACAGCATATTTTCAATTTTCCAGCTGTCTATATACCAACTAGGAATCTAAAATTTAATTCAATTCTGACATTATCTATCTGGATTTAGTAGCATAATCCACAAATTAATGAAACCCTAAGCCCAACACTGGGAATCTCAACAGAAGTAGACCACCCATCCATAATTAAAAAGCCAAGTAAGGTGCCATGCCTATAATCCTAGCTACTTGGGATGCTGAAATCTGAGGATCACAGTTCCAAGCTACCCTGGGCAGGAAAATCTGTGAGACTCTTCTGTACAATTAACCAGCAAAAAGCTAGAAGTGGAAGTGTTGGTCATGTGGTGGAGTTCTGTTTCTTGAGTGAAAAAGCTAAAGGAGAATAGTATTTTCTGGTTCTGAGTTTAAGCCTGAAGACAGGCTAAATAAATAAGTAAAGGAAAAAGAAAGCCAGGCACTGATGGTGTAGTGAGGAGGGGCAGTGAGACTAATCAGTCCATAGTGAAAATGTAAAAGATTTTATTGAGGAAAAAGTGCTTCACGTGCCAAGACCGCACCTGGAGTCAGGATCCCAGGAAATGGCCCCGACTGCCAGCCCACATCGGCTTTTAAGCATTTTGGGCTAGGGTGGGGGAAGGGGGAGGCTGGATGTTGTTTTTAGCCAATGATTGTTACAAGAAATTTGCACCTTAAGTTTAAATTTCCCACCAAGATTTTGCTGGCGGGAATCAGGGGACTAGAACAAAGGGTGGTGATGGTTCTGCTGGGTTAGAGCTTCCATTGCTCAGAAAACAGCAGAAGTGGAGTTACAGAGTTAGAGTTATATGGTTACCGAGTTACAATTACAGTTACTAGCTAAAATAGCTAGTTACCAGGAAAGTCTTATCCACAGCACACTTACATTTATATCTTAAAATCATTCATTATCCATTTTACACAATCCAACTAAAATATTATATTCCATCTTTACTTCCTCCACCATATCAGTGGCTTATGCCTGTAATCCTAGCTACTCAGGAGGCTGAAATCTGAGGATTGTGGTTTGAAGCCATTCCAGGCAGTAAAGTCCATGAGATTCTTATTTTCTTTTTTTTTTTTTTTTTTAAATTTAATTTAATTTTATTTGTGAACATACTGTACAGAGGAGTTACAGTTACATGGGCAGGATAATGCGTACATTTCTTACCAAGCATTGCAGCCTCCTCCTTTGTTTACCCTTCACATCCCAAGATTCTTATTTTCAATTAACCACCAAAAAGCTGAAAATGGAGCTATGGCTCAGCTGGTAGAGCACTAGCCTAGAGCAAAAAAGCTCAGGGACAGTGAGTGCCCAGACTGAGTTCAAGCCTCAGGCCCAGCCCATAAAGTTGAAAGGAGGAAGGGAAGAAAGGAAGAAGGGAGGGAGGGATAGAGGAAGGGAAGGAAATAAGGAAGAAAGGGAGGGAGAGAGGAAAGGAGTATTAAAGGAGGAGTTTGGAGCATCCAGAACAGACAGAGTGGTTGATCTTGGTGGGACCTGTGTAGGGGCCTGTGTGGTCCAGTTCTTGTTCTGAATGGGTGAAGAATTGGTTTTCTCTTCAGAGGACCAGGCTGGCTCCCCTGAGGTGATTTCTCTTGCTTGAGGGCAAACCTTGTTAAAGCAGATAATTGCCCTCATTTGGGTATGGTGAGTCCTCACAGACTGCCATTCCCTGGGGGCAGTTTCAGTCCCTGGTCATAGAGGTGTTATGGATAAAGCCTGTCCTTTTAATCCCTGGTGACAGCTGGGGAGAAAAAGTGGACTCAGAGACTGGGGTTTCAGAGGAGGTGTTTGAAGTGACAGAGACAAATGGAGGTAATTATAAGCCAGTGACCAATGGCCTCTTTGAGAGCTCAGGCTCCCAAGACTGCCTCTATTCCCAAGTCCTGGTTCCTGGTATGTCTGACTGCACAGGGATGAACCAGCTATAAGCAGTGACCTCCTTCTCAAGGTTCAGTACTTTGGCAGAGTGGCTCACAGAATTCAGGGAATTGGTTTTTTTGTTTTTTGGGTTTTTTTTTTTTTTTTTTTTTGCTTTTGGTTATTAGTTTATCACAAACAGTACCATAAAGGATATAAATTAACAGCCAATAGAGACACATTGGGTAAGATCTAAAAGAAGCTCTATACAGGGGTTTCTGTTCCCAAGGCGGGTGTGGAGGTCTCTGCCATCACGTGTCCTTGCTCCAGAGTTCTTGTAATCAGCAGGCACTGGTAGCTCATGCCTGTAATCCTGGCCACTCAGGAGACTGAGAACTGAAGATCATGGTTCAAAGCCAGCCCATGTGGGAAAGTCTACAAGAGTCTTATCTCCAAGGAACCAGTGAAAAAAACAACAGTGGAGCTGTGGCTCCAGAGGTAAAGGCTAAGCAAGCTGAGGCGAGATAGATTAGGGCACAGTAAATGCCAGCCAGGAATTTGGAAACAAACATGGTATACCACTTACACTCCTTCATAAACTGCAGTATTAGCACAAGGAAAAAGAAAAGAGCAGGAACAGCTTTCTCCATCTGACCTTGCCTCCTGGCCCCAAACAATGAGCGTGCTCTGAAAACTGAGCAGGAACATAAATAAAGACATCAATCCTGGAGAAGCAAACACTTAGGAGAATGACTCCTCCTGGCACAAAGTACTTAATCTCGGGTAAACATCTGTCTTAAAAATATATGGCAGAATGCATTCTTTCTTGAAGGAAGCCGCCCAAACAGAAGGATCAAAGTTTAATGAGACCCTGAGCCCAAGTGATAAGAGTACAACACCAAGAGTAACGGGATACCAGGTGCAAAGACAAAGAAAATATTTATCCTACAATAACGTTTAAGCCAAACTATGCCCGATGCACGTGAGGGTTTGCGAGGATTTCCTCTAGAAGTAGGGACTCCTCACTCAGGGTCTTTGACTGTGATCGCAGAATAAGAATTTCTGAACAAGTCATTGTAAGCGCTGACCCAGAAAACCACTCAGACACATAGTCACATAC